GATACATCTTTTATCCACCGAGGCTGCTTTAAGAAAGTACATGTTTGAGGGGAAAGCAGATGCTGGAGAATGCTCCAGAGCAGATTATCCAAACTGCTGGAGGAGAATCTGGGGAAAACTTCCCTTAAGATGGTGACAACTTTTAAACTTAGTAGTAGTGGTGCCTGTGGTCAGGTGAGGCTTATGGCAGAGGAGAATACAGGCCTGATTTAAAACAGTAGAATGGGAAAAAAGATATGCCCTTCTTCCAGATGAGTAAATTCCAAAACGAGTAAGAAAAGAAAAAAAAAAAATTGGGGTTGGGATAGAGTAAGGAACTTTTAGAAGCAAATCATAGTGGAAAAGGAGAAGTAAATGATCCCTGTCTGGTCTCAAAGATTGAAAAATGTGCCTTGTGCCCAAAAAGGAAACACCAAGGAAAAACTGAGGTAAGTGTAAGTGATGGCTGCAGTACAGAGAGAAAAACAAATGTAGAGCTGCAGACTATTTGGGTTTTCCTCCCTAGGAAACAAAATAACAGAAAATCATATAGCTGTGTTATTCAAACACATACATTATGCACAAAACCAAAGGAAAAGGATTTTTCTATTATAGAAAAAACTCTTGGCTACTGAGAAAAGCAAACAACATGTATATCGAGGAAGGCTACACTTTCCTACTAATGAGATCTATTTAAAATGGTGTTTGAAAACACCCAATTGCATAGTCAGTTGGATACAAATTACAATCAAACAGGTTTTCAATAAATATTTTAAGTGAATTTACTCTGAAATCTGCAAAAGCAGAGGTTTCCAAAATTTTTACTGTTTGTAAAACGAAGACGTCATTCAATAAATATGAATTCAATGTTTAGGTGTCAGGCAATCAGATGAAATAAAGTTCGTCATGGACCCAAAGGGTACATGGTAAAGGGATAAATGATTCCAACAGACCAGAGTGCCCTACTCATAAATAGTACATGTCACAGAGCCTCTGGATAAGGCATCAGGTCCACTGGGACAAGACCTCTTGCTCTCCCATTTAGCCTCTGCATTTCTGTATGACGAAGTGTTTAGAGGTGTGTGTGTAAGTATGCACACTAGCAGAGGGGAATGGAGGGTTTATATTTGCACTGCACTGCACTCATGTCTTAAATGATAGGCCAAAATACTGTTAGTACAACTATCTCAACCACACAGTGAAGATTAATCAAGATACTGAAAGCAACCTCAAGGTGATTATGTTGAGTGAAATCAGTCAAAAAGTAAAAGACTTCAGATGGTTTCACTCATCTGTGGAATATAAATACCCCAAAAACAATTACACACAAACAATAGAAGGAACAAGAATTTGAACTGGGCAAAAGGAAGATTATGGTTACCAGAGGGAATAGCGGAAAGGGGGGGGGGGAGAAGATGGAGGAGGGAGGCGTATGGGGTGTGGTATCGTGGCTTGTGCGGGGCATGGGGGGAGAATGAACCACAAAACAAGTATTACAAAGTAGGGGAAAAAATAAAGATGATGAAGCAAATCATTTTTGTGGAAACAAAATAAAACAGAAAAGCCAAAACAACAAGCCCAAAATCCATGAGGAAGCGCAATGGCAAGCTAAGACTCATCTGAGAGAGTATGGATGATGCCCGTTAGCGCCCTTGCTGCAGACAGCAGGATCTGCCGCTCGGCACCTGGCATGGGAGAAGCCTGGCACTGGTGCCAAGTTTCCCGTGACAGACTTCCTGGGAGAAAAAGGTATTGGGGAGCGCAGTAAACTAATACTGTGCTAGATTTGGTTTACAAAGGCCATGTCTTAGTAATCCCTAATCGCCATTTGGTAGGTTATTAGTCAGTACCCCTTGGGCATATGAAAGTATGACCAACTACGAAGCAATGAGAACTGCAGAACAGAGCTGCACTTCCCACAAGGGGGGCAGGGCCGGAGTCAGACTTGGGGAATCACTGCTCAGCCAGACAGAAGCACAAACGTTGTTCCTCAGGAGGGGAAAGAAGGGGGAAGAAAAAACTAACACTGAAATGTGGGATAATAAATGAGAGCAAGATAGTGCTTCAAACCTTTTGTTTGATGAGCACAGGACCCATAAAACCACGCCTGGAAACTAATTCCAAGCAATAAAAAAGCTACATGGAGTGTTCATTCCTCAACAAACACAAGGAGTACATCAATTCTTTGCTATCTCAGATGCGCCTGTAGCTCCCAAAAGCCCAGAAAAGGGGACAGGCGAATACTCTCCATGAGCCCACACTACTTGTAAGATAATGCTACTTCATTACTCTATATATCAAGTTCTCCACATAAGCAGATATGAATTTCAAAGGCCTTTTTACATCTTTAATCAACAAGCTTTCCCTTTTGGAATGGTGAGTAAAATATAATGAATACGCACTTTTTTTCTAGTCATAAAGGTTGGCAAGAAAGCAATTTCAAAAAACAACGCTGAATAAACCAAAGGGAAAATATTCTTTAGCACGCCTAACATTGTGGAAGCCTCTTCTGAAGGCTGTGACCTAAGTTCCAGCCTTTACTACTTCCTGACCTGTTATTCAAATTTCTTATTTGAAAATTGGGGGGAAAACTATCCAAATTCAATGGGAAAGGCCTTGAAAAGTCCCAATACTTGAAGAGAAGCTAAACTGATAGTTTACTACCGCCCTTACTGGTTCCACTGTGGTCTCCATCTGCGGTGCTTAATAATGTTCCACTCAGGTTTTCTGATACTGGGATTATCAAAGCTCACTTTACAGAACCCAGCACAAAATTTCCAATTAAAGTAGGGTAATAATGATTACCAGCCTCAAGAATTCTTAATAATCATTTTCTCAGAAAATAGGTAAGTGTATCAAAGAGTTTTATTTTATAGGATGCACCGTGTCCTCTCACTTCATTGTAACAACTTACTTCATTATTAGGGAAAGTGGAGGGAATTCTTGATACCTTGAATTAAGCTCAGCAGTTGAAACAGACTATTGTAAATGTACTTTAGGGATACACAAATTTTTTTATGTTGTTACTCTTTTGCCAAAACATACTTTAAGTTGCTGTTCTCCCTATTCACTACAGAATAGCAAACTACTAGGCAAATGCTAAGTTTTTATTTTCCTTTGCTTCTTGGCCAATTTACTAAGTGAAAAGCTATTCTGCTGACAGAGCAGAAAACAGCCCACATAAGAGTATGCTGGATCACTTCTTATAATCCATACCTTAAAAATAATCATGGAGTATAGAAACAATGAAGAGTTTGTGAAAAGAGCAAAAAGCAGGACACAGAAGACATCAAGCAGCAGTCAGGACAACATACACCCTGGGAAATCAGAAAGCTCACAAAAATCACCAGTGATTTTTTTTTAAAAGACCCACTAAATATAAGATTAGAAAAACAGGAAATGCAAGTTAGCTTTTTATTAAAATAGTTCAAAAACTAAATTATCCAAAATTTGAAAACCATTTCTAACAATGCCACTAAGCAAAATAAGAAAAATAATAAACAAGGATACAAATATCTCATAACCTTAAAGAGGGAGCTAAAAAAGCAAAGCTGTCACCCCAGGAAATACTCACTCTACCTTCCTGAAGAATAAAGAGAACAATTGTGAAAGTGAAATTCACACGCAATCACTAACATGCCTCAAAATCTATAGTTCAGGGTTACTATAGGAAGGCATGATTACAGAGGGAAAAGGTTTCATTACAAAGCCAAAATGGAAGAGGAAATACAGTCATACCTGTAGATATTCAATAATACACACACACACACACAATATTCATATACATGGAAAAAGAGGTGGTCTACAATACTGAGATCAATTTACTTGCAGGGAAACTTCAGCTGTCAAGAAAAAATGTCCAAAAGGAAAAGACTGTTTTATAGCGCTAGCTCCTGCCAGCAGCATCTGAACTTCAGAGTAAATTAAAACTCCCTGAGCAAAAACTGGCCATCTCTCCACCCACATTCATGGGAGAGTGGAAACCATGTCTTTAGATGGTACTATAAACTCAAAAGGCTGTGAATCCTGAAGCTTTCAGTCCCCACAGCAACAGTATTAACGCTATTTTCTTCTATCTACATACTGCTTTTTTCATTTTACAAAGTGTCTTCCTTTTATTTCCAGCAGCCTGCTTGGTGCTGGAATCACAGTCCTGTGCCAGTAGTGTGTCAAATTCTTTCCTACACGGTATGATTACTTGAAGTCTGGTCTTCCTTGTTACCCTTCGAAAATCCCACTTTGGACTGGACTCCGTTTTGGCAATCTGTCCCCAGAGTTTTTCTTGGGTCTCCTTCATCCTCCCTGAAGCAGGAGCCACTTACTATTTTACGTAAGAGACACAAGGAGGTGAAGTCACAGCTTAAGGACAATTAGGTGGTGGATGAAGGGCCTGGACGACTGCGGAACTGACTGTCAACAATAGTCACTTCCAACCCTTTAAAGTTCAAAGTACATTTTGCTTCCAGGAGCAAGCTCCTTCGGACAGCTGCGAGACAGACCTGCGCGGAGCGGCCCGCGTCCGGTCTCTCTCTAAACATAGGGAAACTGAGTCAGGAGGGACCGACAAAAGCCTGATCCCGGCAGAGCCCCGCAGGGCGTGCTGGTGGGATGACCCGCGGCCACCAACTCGCCTGCACTAAGCCCAGAGCAGCAGTTTGAGACACTCGGTCGGTCTCCTGAGATGAGCAAACCCTCGCCATTCCCGCGTCCCCGCCCAGGCTTCCCACCGGCGGGGAGTCCCTCTTCCCGGGGCCGCCCTGCAAGTCCCTTCCCGAGGCCCTTTCCCGTTTTCCACACCGGGCCTCCGGAGCCGGCGAATCCGCTAGCTCGTAGCCCCAGTCTCGGAGGCATGTCTGGACCTCAAGGCATTTCTGTCTCCCAGGCGGGGGTCGGCCTCGCACCGCTGCCACCTAAACCCCAAACTCCACAAAAGGAAGCCCTCCCGGGGCGTCCACCCCGCGACCCCTTCCGCGCATAGCGCCCCTAAACCTGGAGCCTCGCAGGAGCTACATGTTTCTCACCTGAGCCCCGCTGGCCGCGGCCTCCTCAGAAAGGCAACCCCAAGAACCTGCTCCGGCGAAGACCCCCAAAAGGCGGAACACCCTCTTTCAGGAACCTCTTCGGGCGCCTTCAGCGTGGGCCTCGGTGGAGCACCTCCGGCTGCGTCCCGGGCTCTGCCCGAAGCCTCCTCTTCCCCGCCCCTTTTCCGGAGCCTCCCGCGGCCCCAGTCCGGTCTCCAGCCGCAGACGCGGGCGGCTGGCCCCCTCCCTCACGGGCGTCCCCAGCCCTCGGGCTCCCCCAGCTCCGCGTTCCCAGGGGCTTCCCGGAGCAGCGCGGCAGGGCTGCGGCACTGACTTTCTCCGGCTCCCCGGCGCACCTGAGGGAGGGGGCGGCGGCGGCGGCGGCGGCGCGACTCCTTTGTGACAGGTCCGAGAGAGCGGTAAAGATGGACGCGAGGCCACGGCGCTGCCATTACGCGCAGGGCCCACCCCCGCTTCGTCCCGCCCCGGCCCTCCCTCAGTCCCCTAGGAAACGCCCCTTCCTCGGTGGCAACCCCTCTCCATGACAGCCAATCATCGTTCGGAAAAGGTACCACGTGCTCGCCAGGCCCGGCCCGCCCCCCGGGCGCGAGCTGACCAATTGCGTCGCTGAGGTGTGAATGAGCCAATCAAGTTCCCCCGACTAGCCTTCCGGGCACCGGATTTCCAGGGGGTCTCCCGGGGAGGAAGCGAGGCGCGGATTGGGTCACACCGCCGGACGGGGCGGAACCTTGTTGTGGCGGTGAGCAACAGGAAGCCCTGAAGGGTCAAAAGAAATACAAAAGCAAAGGCTATTTCTTTTCTTAGTTTTCGTTCTTTCTTTTTTTTCCTAAAGAGCGAGCGGCCTTTGCGGTGGCGGTTTGGGCTGGGCGCCGCCGCCGTGAGGGAGTCTTGCCTCCCGCATTCTGGTAGGTGAGTGCGGCCTGCGCCTGGCCTGGCGGTGAAACCCGGGCGCCAGATTCTTGGTTGAGCACATGAAGGAGCAGCGTTTGGCTTGAGAGTCAGGATCAGGGCTCTCCGCCAGCCGTGCGTCGGTCCATGGCTTGAGTTGTTGGGGCAGAGGGCTTGCGGGGCCCAGCCTGTGGGGAGCGAGGTGGTGGTGGGGAGCCCGCGGGAAGGCCTCTGGGTCGTGGATGGCTGGGCGGGGGGGAGGGTCCCCGACCCTTTCTAGCTGTCCCGGAACCCCCCTACCGTGGTGCTGACTCCCCTCCACCTATTCTGTTAGGTGGGGCCACCCAAGCCCAAGTGAGTCTTTGGAGATCTCCGAACGACTCCAGACTACCCGGGAGATGGGAGGATGCATGGTCGGAAATGGTTGAATCCGAATTTAAGTGTAGGGTGGGAAACACGTAGATTAAGAACTGTGTACCAGTCGCCGCGCTCCGTGCATTTTCTCCTAATAGAAAACGAGCCAGCGTGGTTTGGCGAAAAGTTAGGAAACTTACAATCGAGATCTGAAGTACCTCGTTTGAGAGTTGGTGGCTCATGTCTGCCCGCACGGGGAAAGGGAGAGGCCTATTCGCTCATAGCAGAGGTTATACTAGTGGTTTTTAACCCATTTTAAACTCAGATTTTCGGTCCCTAGCCCCACATAGTCTGACTAGATCTAGAGATACCCAGAACGCCAATGAGGGCTTGATAGGGGGAATTCTCAGTGATCTCTTGCTTACGAGGTGTCAGGTAAGGTTAGCTGTTTTGTTTTTTTTTTTTTTCAGTTGCTAGGTTAATTGAGGTTTTAACTGTAACCCCATAAAAAGATTTGAGGGGCATTGCTCCTGAAACCCCTGGGAGGAATCAATGTGTGGACTCCTTTTTGATACCGGGAATTGAACTGAGACAAGACAGCTCTTACAGTCCAACAGTGAGCTGTCAACAGTTTGTATCCGCAACAGAGGCTACCCACTAGCTACATTTCTCAGCTGAAGTCTTGGTGTCTTTACCGCGCGGGTCAGTTTCTCAGGGTTGTAAGGAAGGAAGAAGTGTATCAAGATCTTTCACCTGATTAGCAGTCTACCCTTGAACCTTCGAAAAATCACTGCGTGGTTAGAGTCAAGCTGCTCTTGTTCAAGTTCAATTCACAGTAATCTGCTTTCCATTTCTCCTGCTTCAGAAATTGAAAACCATCTATCTGGTAAATGAAATAAGTCAACAGCATGGGTCAGCTGGAGTTTCAACCATAGTGTCATTATGCTTTTGTGTCAGCTGAATTAGTGATTCAATGTGCTAGGCATTGAACAAGTTTCATCTTCATCATTAAATGTCAACTGTTTCACTTTAGGTTCTGTTTTAAAGATTGTTCTTTGTCATTCTGCATTTTTACTACAGATTCATTGTTTTTCTGTTTGGTGTTTGTGAATTTGTGGCTTTGTCTTTTACTAGGTCTTTCAAATTCTCAGCCATTTTATATCCATTTATTGTTTTGCCCTATTGATATTCCTTCTTTACACATTTAACATGGAGTATTTCACTCTATTCTCTAAGCCTCTTACCCTCTTCTTATTTTTGCACACAACATTCTAGATAATTTCTTCTCAGGTTATTTTTAGTCTGCCACTATACTCATCCATCAAAATCTTAAGTTTAGTTAGTACATATTTTAGTTCCTGAAGGTCGGTCAGTCAGTTTCAACTGTGCCATGTCACTATTTTGCAGTTTCTTACTCTCTGCCATTACTTTTGAGGCTGTTATTTTTATTCCTTTATACTTGTTTTATACCCTGTCTCTAAAGTTAAAGGAATTAATTTTACAGACATTATCATGAAAGAGGTTTTTCACTTCCAGAAATAGTGAGTCTGATACCTGAATTCCCTTTGGTTCTGTGGCTGTTGCCCACTTTCCAGCTGTTTTTCTACCACATTCACACCTCAGATGTAGTCTTTGGGGTACCAGGTCAATAATGAGAAGGAGGCAGCTCTGACAGCACAGGCCCTTTGCTGGCCGCAAGGTTTAACTTTCTGTCGCCTCCCAGAGTCGGAACAGCAGCCCTCAGGCCAGAGAATCCACAGGGTGAAAACTAGTTTACTAGCTTGAATGTTGTACTTAGTTTCTGGTTATCATATTTTCTTGGGTTTTGGTCAAATTCTTTAACTATCTTGTTAGCTTTTCTATCTAGGAGTTATTTTTTAATTTTCTTCCTGGCCTTGTTTTTTTTTTTTTTAAATCCTAGAAATATAGAGGGTTGGTCTCAAGTACCTAACCCACTACTTCTGGCAGTGAAAAGCCCCTTTCTTTTTGCTTTTAGGGTATGATTAGTGATTTCAGGCTCTATTGAGCTGGAGATTATTTTTCTTTGTGTACCTAAAACATCTACCGACTTTTGCTGTGTGGCTCCATGTTAAGCTTCCCTGATTCTCTTTTCTAGTCTTTATTTTCTGAACGCCTTAGGCTTAGCTTCTGTTCTTTTGTGGTGTCCTTACATTCTCCTATGTTTATGTGCCAACCTTATCTCTTTTAATGAAAGCAGATTCTCCCATATTAAAAGTCCAGTGCCAGTTTAGTGCCTGGCACTGTGCTTTATATACAGTAGGTGCTCTGTAAAGATTTACTTCAAAAATATAACTGAACACCTTTTTTTTTTTTTTTTAAACGTTTGTTTTCAGGAGTTACATGAAGCCTGGAGTTGGGAGGGGGTAAGACTTAGTGTGGGTGAGGTTTCAAAGGCAGCCCGATGGCAAAATAGTGTATAATTAAACCTACCTTCAAAACTTCTTAGGGTGGCACCCTGTTGCATGTAGATACATCAGCACAGTGAAATTCCAGCGTGGCGAGATTTTCTTCCAGTTTGATACATACACTGTTTTTCTTCCCTTGAACTCCAGATGAAGTACTGTAAATTCTCAGTCAACATCATGTCTTCAGCCTTGTAGGTTCGTGGGACCTTTAAGCAAAAAGACAAGGAAGTGAGAGCAGGTCCTTAGGTGCTCTGCTCGCCCTTGGCCCGTGTTCTTTTTTCTCATCTATGTTACAGTGAGTTGACATTGAAAGAATGATGTTACTTGAGGGCCTGCTGTGGTGGTTTGCGTTCAGGAGTCACAATGTGGGAAAAACCAGCTAATATTAGAAGCTGACATGGTGAGAAAAGAGTTTATATTCTGAGAGAGACAGGCTAACTAGGAACTGAGAAACAGCTAAAGAAACCACTACTTAAGTGTATCTTTTTTCCTTCTAGTGCATATAGATTAGTTCAAAGTAAATATACAAGTGATGAGACTGTTCTAAACTTTGTAAATATATTATATGTATATATACATACACACGCACACATAAAAGGGTTTTTATTTATCTTATGTGCTTTTTAGATACCAAGACAACCAGGTTACAACAAATTGCCCTTTATAATAAACATTTCTATGAATTAAATTGTTTATGCTGTATCATAATTTTTTAGATTTTTTTTTTTAGTCCCTGTGTTAAATAAGCTTCCATGTTAGAAGATTGAGGATCATTTGTCTAGTAATAAATACAAACAGTATTCTCTGCTAGTAATTATCATTCTTTGAAGTTTTATAACACAGGGAAAGCCAACTTGATCTAAGTTGCTCTAGCTGGGGAGGCGTCCCTTCTTGCCAGAAAGAAATCTTTATTTGGAATATAGTTAGTTTGCCAGATGGCAAATTCTTCTTGGTTGTTGTCCAGCATCTTGGAATCCCATGTGACTTTCATATTGAGTTAAAAATTGTTAGGAGGGTGATACTTAGGTTATTTACTGTTCAAAAGAAAGTGGATTAGTGTATTTTTCTTTTTCACTCCCCAAAGAGAAGCCTTAGAACACCCTATTTCTGCTGTGTTTTTATGGTGCAGTCTATCTAATGTGATGAGAACTGCAAAGGTACAGTGGCCAGTGATAAAACACTTCAGTAGTCTGCCGTAGCTGCTGCCGTTACAAAATTCAGTTCCAAGAGAGCCAGATCTCCTTAACTTGTTTCAGGACCGTGAGCTAAATGGAATGATTTTTCAAGTCAGCAATTGTTCTGGAAGCAGCAAAAGAAGTTTTGCAAAGCGTGTAGTGTAGACTGAACCCATTCGGCCCTGCCAGTCTGGAAATTAAATACCTTAGTGTCCAGTATAGACACAGTAGTACAGTGTTTAGGGTAAATTTGCCTTAAAATAGAAAAACTTTGTTTTCTTGATTGTTAAGCGAATTTGAAAATAATTTGCTTTGTGTCAGTTTGAAACTACTGAGTTTGGACCAAATTATTTTGGTGGAGTTTTGATTGCCCATGAATTCTCGATTTGAAGGACTTAAATAATCCTTCAAAAAATAATGTAAAGTTGAGTTTAACTAAACTTGCGTCACCTAAAGAAAAATGTGAATAAAGGAAAGTTGATAGCATTTTTTTTCTTCAAAAATTAAGCACAGAAAGGATATGATAATCAGTCCCTACTTAATCCCTATATGAATCTTCATAGTCAGATCCCCAGTTTTAATTATTCTGTTAAACAAAGGGGGAGAAAAAGTCCCTTGACTTTTCAAAATTTAGCTAGGCAGTTGGCATTAGAAATAAACCTTGCTCAATTTCCAGATTATTTTGTCTACTTCTAGAAAAAGGTACCTTATCACCTCCTATTGCATTATAACCAATGATTGAACTCATCAAAGAAAAATGCTGTGTGGGAAATACTTATTACTCAGAAGAAGAGTGACTTTTTTTTTTAGTCAATTGAAATTAAAGGAAAGTAGCGAGCTATTTTTGAAGACTGTCAATAATACAGTAAAATGATCAAGTGTTTGCTTCTGTGTTTCCTACTGCACAAATTGGTGTTTGAAGGGACATAGGAGCCCAGGAAATACTTGTGTAGTGGAAATACTTGTGTAGTGTGTGCTATTCTCTGTAAGTTACATTGGACAGCACTCAGGCCTACTCATTCGAAAGCACTCCTCTCTGCTTAAATTCTTCAAATCCTTCACAGTT